AAATGGAATATTATATTCATAGGTTTGTTTTTATTGGTGTTTAACCCTAAAAATAAGTCGACCATGTTGAACTGCCACCTTTTCTGCAGTAGCCCAGAAAGGACAAACCAAACACTTGCTCTAGATAGGGCCATTCACAATTCTTGTGCATTTAATGGGCACCATTGTTTCTGTTGCCTTTGAAGGGGAGAATGAAACAAAGAAGTTGCAATCTACAACTAAACTGCTAGATATCACTAATTTCTACGCACTGGTTGCAACCAACTGAATATAGCTCAGCCTTCCAAGTGTATAGAAGAAACTACGGTGGTGGCGATCCTCGAGAAAATCAGACAGGTTCCTATCTAGATAACCTGACCGAGTAGTCGTCATGGGAAACAGTTTGGAGAAGGGCAGGTGATTGGATGAACCTCCTGTCTATCACCGTCAATCACAGGCAAACTTCAAACAATCAGATCAATGAACAGAAACATAGTCAAACTCTTACTGAAGCCAGTCGGGAAAAGAGCGAAAACATCTTTTTAGTGCCGTTCTTTGCTCTTCTTTCAATAAATATATATAACTGATGCTAGCAGCATGCACGCTAACCTCTTTGGCAGCCGCCATTGTTGTTTTTGAATGAACAGGTTCTTCTCACTGTGTAACTACTAGCGCCCACCCTGGTAGCTGTACCGTACTTCCTCAAAGGAAGTTGACGCAGACTAGCAAGATGGATGGATGGATGATTTTGTGATCTATCACAAGTCCAGCCGCAAGGCTACTGTCTAGAGCCAGGGTTGGGTTTTTCCATTCTGGGCTACTGCAGAAACATGGCGGACCCACTCCCTCTGTAGATAAAAACAGCTCATTGTAACAAAACAAAAACACAATACTTATTTTCAGGTTATTATACATTATTGAAAACATACCTATGAATATTATATTCCCTACTATTCTATTCAAATAGATCCTCCTAAATGTTACACACTGGACCTTTAAATACTGTTAGTTTGGATAATACAGGTTAATCAGTGTTTCTCTATTCCTCTCTGTGTTTCTGTCTTTGTTCCTAACAAATGTTTATGTTTTGTTGTATTCTGTGCTCGTTTGCACTCGTCAGGGAGACTGTGAGAGCAACGGAGGGATTATGAAGAAGCTTCCATCCATCAAGGAGGATGAGGAGGGATCCGGCTCTGAGGGTGAACACTCCCCTCTCCCCAAGATGCCTTCCCTGGGAAGGCTGGGCCGAGGTCTGCGCTCCCCCCTGCGCTCCCCTCTGCGCTCCCCACTACTGCCTGCAAGATCCTTGAGACCAGTGAGCGATCAAATCCGACCCGCCAGCCTGCAGATCCCTGTGGTGAGCTTTAACTGCCTGCAGCCGGACCTCAGCCCCCGGTAAGGAGCCATTCATTGATTTATTGACTGGGTACTTAAGTGTTAGCTTGGCTGAAGTTCATTCAGTGGTAGTAAACCTGCTGTGGGAATTTGACTTGCATTCTGTATGACTGATATTATTCATAAATACAAACCATCTACAGGCTAATTTGCACGGAGTCCCCTGGAGAGGCTGCAGCGTACACTTGGCTGGAGGAATCAATTTTCTTTGATATAACTGTGTGAGGGTGCACACAGTGTGTGTCACTGTGGCATTTTCCAAAAAGATATTTAGGAAAAAACATCATTACAGTGGTAAAGGAAAAATCACCAAATGTCTTTTTTTTGTCTAATTTGTGTTTTATTTACAATAAATGTGCCCATGAGAAGCCTTGAGCACATACAGTATTACCTACACCCCATACTTCATGCTATTACCTCTTTTTACTCTCAGCAGAATTATAAAAGACAAAATGTTAAATAAAACAACAAATAAAGGGGTTTTATTCTTTTTTATATTTTCCTATTTATATTTTTAGTGATTAGTTTTATTGG